TGTCACTCTGGCACGGGGCCATGGTTGTCACTCTGGCACGGGGCCATGGTTGTCACTCTGGCACGGGGCCATGCTTGTCACTCTGGCACGGGGCCATGGTTGTCACTCTGGCCCAGGGCCATGGTTGTCACTCTGGCACGGGGCCATGGTTGTCACTCTGGCACGGGGCCATAGTTGTCACTCTGGTACGGGGCCATGCTTGTCACTCTGGCACGGGGCCATGGTTGTCACTCTGGCACGGGGCCATGGTTGTCACTCTGGCACGGGGCCATGGTTGTCACTCTGGCACTAGGCCATGGTTGTCACTCTGGCACGGGGCCATGGTTGTCACTCTGGCACGGGGCCATGCTTGTCACTCTGGCACGGGGCCATGGTTGTCACTCTGGCACGGGGCCATGCTTGTCACTCTGGCACGGGGCCATGGTTGTCACTCTGGCACTAGGCCATGGTTGTCACTCTGGCACGGGGCCATGCTTGTCACTCTGGCCCATTGCCATGGTTGTCACTCTGGCACTAGGCCATACTTGTCACTCTGGCCCATTGCCATGGTTGTCACTCTGACACTAGGCCATGCTTGTCACTCTTGCACTAGGCCATGCTTGTCACTCTGGCCCATTGCCATGGTTGTCACTCTGGCACTAGGCCATGCTTGTCACTCTGGCACGGGGCCATGCTTGTCACTCTGGCACTAGGCCATGCTTGTCACTCTGGCCCAGGGCCATGGTTGTCACTCTGGCACTAGGCCATGCTTGTCACTCTGGCACTAGGCCATGCTTGTCACTCTGGCACTAGGCCATGCTTTTCACTCTGGCACGGGGCCATGCTTGTCACTCTGGCCCAGGGCCATGGTTGTCACTCTGGCACTAGGCCATGCTTGTCACTCTGGCCCATTGCCATGGTTGTCACTCTGGCACGGGGCCATGCTTGTCACTCTGGCACGGGGCCATGGTTGTCACTCTAGCCCATTGCCATGGTTGTCACTCTGGCACGGGGCCATGCTTGTCACTCTGGCACGGGGCCATGCTTGTCACTCTGGCACTAGGCCATGCTTGTCACTCTGGCACTAGGCCATGCTTGTCACTCTGGCACGGGGCCATGCTTGTCACTCTGGCACGGGGCCATGCTTGTCATTCTGGCACTAGGCCATGCTTGTCACTCTGGCACTAGGCCATGCTTGTCACTCTGGCACTAGGCCATGCTTGTCACTCTGGCACGGGGCCATGCATGTCACTCTGGCACGGGGCCATGCTTGTCACTCTGGCACGGGGCCATGCTTGTCACTCTGGCACTAGGCCATGCTTGTCACTCTGGCACTAGGCCATGCTTGTCACTCTGGCACTAGGCCATGCTTGTCACTCTGGCACTAGGCCATGCTTGTCACTCTTGCACTAGGCCATGCTTGTCACTCTTGCACTAGGCCATGCTTGTCACTCTGGCACGGGGCCATGCTTGTCACTCTGGCACGGGGCCATGCTTGTCACTCTGGCACGGGGCCATGCTTGTCACTCTGGCACGGGGCCATGCTTGTCACTCTGGCACTAGGCCATACTTGTCACTCTGGCACTAGGCCATGGTTGTCACTCGGGCACGGGGCCATGCTTGTCACTCTGGCACTAGGCCATACTTGTCACTCTGGCACTAGGCCATGCTTGTCACTCTGGCACGGGGCCATGCTTGTCACTCTGGCACGGGGCCATGGTTGTCACTCTGGCCCATTGCCATGGTTGTCACTCTGGCACGGGGCCATGCTTGTCACTCTGGCACTAGGCCATGCTTGTCACTCTGGCACTAGGCCATGCTTGTCACTCTGGCACTAGGCCATGCTTGTCACTCTGGCCTAGGGCCATGGTTGTCACTCTGGCACTAGGCCATGCTTGTCACTCTGGCCTAGGGCCATGGTTGTCACTCTGGCACGGGGGCATGCTTGTCACTCTGGCACGGGGCCACGCTTGTCACTCTTGCACTAGGCCATGCTTGTTACTCTGGCACGGGGCCATGCTTGTCACTCTGGCACTAGGCCATGCTTGTCACTCTTGCACGGGGCCATGCTTGTCACTCTGGCCTAGGGCCATGGTTGTCACTCTGGCACGGGGGCATGCTTGTCACTCTGGCACGGGGCTATGCTTGTCACTCTGGCACGGGGCCATGGTTGTCACTCTTGCACTAGGCCATGGTTGTCACTCTTGCACTAGGCCATGCTTGTCACTCTGGAACGGGGCCATGGTTGTCACTCTTGCACTAGGCCATGGTTGTCACTCTGGCACTAGGCCATGCTTGTCACTCTTGCACTAGGCCATGCTTGTCACTCTGGCACTAGGCCATGCTTGTCACTCTGGCACTAGGCCATGCTTGTCACTCTGGCACTAGGCCATGCTTGTCACTCTGGCACGGGGCCATGCTTGTCACTCTTGCACTAGGCCATGCTTGTCACTCTGGCACGGGGCCATGGTTGTCACTCTTGCACTAGGCCATGCTTGTCACTCTGGCACGGGGCCATGCTTGTCACTCTGGCACGGGGCCATGGTTGTCACTCTGGCACGGGGCCATGCTTGTCACTCTGGCACTAGGCCATGCTTGTCACTCTGGCACTAGGCCATGCTTGTCACTCTGGTACTAGGCCATGCTTGTCACTCTGGCACTAGGCCATGCTTGTCACTCTGGCACTAGGCCACGCTTGTCACTCTGGCACTAGGCCATGCTTGTCACTCTGGCACTAGGCCACGCTTGTCACTCTGGGTGGGCAGACTGCATTTTCTTGGACTGTCAGCAAGCCTTTGACACAGTACCCCATAAACGGCTGTTACGGAAGTTGGAGCAACAGGCAGGAGTAACAGTAAGGTGCTCCAGTGGATAAGGGAGTATCTAAGCAACAGGAAACAGCGAGTAACTGTGAAAGGGGAGACATCAGAGTGGCCAGATGTCACCAGCGGAGTCCCACAGGGCTCTGTACTTGGACCCATCCTGTTTCTAATATATGTAAATGATCTTCCGGAGGGAATAGACTCATTCCTCTCAATGTTTGCTGATGATGCAAAAATTATGAGAAGAATCAAGACTGATGAAGATAGACAGAGACTACTGGATGACCTGGACAAACTGGAGGAATGGTTTAGGAAATGGCTACTAATGTTTAACTCAGGAAAGTGTAAAGTAATGAAATTATGTGAAGGGAGCAGAAGGCTGAACTCAAGGTACCATCTGGGAGGTGAAATCCTGCAAGAGTCAAATAGAGAGAAGGATCTGGGGGTTGATATCACACTGAATCTGTCACCAGAAGCCCGCATCAGTATGATATCATTAGCGGCATATGCCAATTAGCAAACATATGAACTGAGTTTAGAAACTTGTGAAAGGAATTAGTCAGAATCTTATACACCACTTACATCAGACCAGTCCTGGAGTATGCAGCTCCATCCTTGGAGTTCATACCTAGTTAAAAACAAGATAAAGTTAGAGAAGATTCAGCGGTATGCCACGAGACTAGTCCCGGAACTGAGAGGTATGCGCTACAAGGAAAGGCTACGGGAGCTAAACCTCACATCCCTGGAAGACACATGAGTGAGGGGAGACATGATTACTACGTACAAAATTCTCAGACACAAGCACAACTAGGCGAGTACACACACGCAACATGCTGAATATATGAATAGAACACAGAAAGTCAGGCGCCTCGAACACCTCCACGCCGACTCTACACGCTGCACCAAACTTCTCGAACACCTCCACGCCGACTCTACACGCTGCACCAAACTTCTCGAACACCTCCACGCCGACTCTACACGCTGCACCAAACTCCTCGAACACCTCCACGCCAACTCTACACGCTGCACCAAAGTGAGGCGCCTCGAACACCTCCACGCCAACTCTACACGCTGCACCAAAGTGAGGCGCCTCGAACACCTCCACGCCGACTCTACACGCTGCACCAAACGCCTCGAACACCTCCACGCCAACTCTACACGCTGCACCAAAGTGAGGCGCCTCGAACACCTCCACGCCAACTCTACACGCTGCACCAAAGTGAGGCGCCTCGAACACCTCCACGCCAACTCTACACGCTGCACCAAAGTGAGGCGCCTCGAACACCTCCACGCCAACTCTACACGCTGCACCAAAGTCAGGCGCCTCGAACACCTCCACGCCAACTCTACACGCTGCACCAAAGTCAGGCGCCTCGAACACCTCCACGCCAACTCTACACGCTGCACCAAAGTGAGGCGCCTCGAACACCTCCACGCCAAGTCAGGCGCCTCGAGCACCTCCACGCCAACTCTACACGCTGCACCAAAGTGAGGCGCCTCGAACACCTCCACGCCAACTCTACACGCTGCACCAAAGTGAGGCGCCTCGAACACCTCCACGCCAAGTCAGGCGCCTCGAACACCTCCACGCCAACTCTACACGCTGCACCAAAGTGAGGCGCCTCGAACACCTCCACGCCAAGTCAGGCGCCTCGAACACCTCCACACCAACTCTACACGCTGCACCAAACTCCTCGAACACCTCCACGCCAACTCTACACGCTGCACCAAACTCCTCGAACACCTCCACGCCAACTCTACACGCTGCACCAAAGTGAGGCGCCTCGAACACCTCCACGCCAAGTCAGGCGCCTCGAACACCTCCACACCGACTCTACACGCTGCACCAAACTTCTTTAATCTGCGAAGGACATTGTTTAAAACTATTTTTTTATTACAAGAATCCGGAGGAGCCAGGTGGAGCCAGGTGGAGCCAGGTGGAGCCAGGTGGAGCCAGGTGGAGCCAGGTGGAGCCAGGTGGAGCCAGGTGGAGCCAGGTGGAGCCAGCTGGAGCCAGGTGGAGCCAGGTGGAGCCAGGTGGAGCCAGGTGGAGCCAGGTGGAGCCAGGTGGAGCCAGGTGGAGCCAGGTGGAGCCAGGTGGAGCCAGGTGGAGCCAGGTGGAGCCAGGTGGAGCCAGGTGGAGCCAGGTGGAGCCAGGTGGAGCCAGCTGGAGCCAGGTGGAGCCAGCTGGAGCCAGCTTCAGCCGCTGGCACCGCCCATGGTCGCCTGTGTGTGTTTTGGTGGTGTGGGCTGGCTTTTTGGTGTAGGTGTGGGCTGGCTTTTGGTGTAAGTGTGGGCTGGCTTTTGGTGTAAGTGTGGGCTGGCTTTTGGTGTAAGTGTGGGCTGGCTTTTGGTGTAAGTGTGGGCTGGCTTTTGGTGTAGGTGTGGGCTGGCTTTTGGTGTAGGTGTGGGCTGGCTTTTGGTGTAGGTGTGGGCTGGCTTTTGGTGTAGGTGTGGGCTGGCTTTTGGTGTAGGTGTGGGCTGGCTTTTGGTGTAGGTGTGGGCTGGCTTTTGGTGTAGGTGTGGGCTGGCTTTTGGTGTAGGTGTGGGCTGGCTTTTGTTGTTGGTGTGGGCTGGCTTTTGGTGTAGGTGTGGGCTGGCTTTTGGTGTAGGTGTGGGCTGGCTTTTGTTGTTGGTGTGGGCTGGCTTTTGTTGTTGGTGTGGGCTGGCTTTTGTTGTTGGTGTGGGCTGGTTTTTGGTGTAAGTGTGGGCTGGCTTTTGGTGTAAGTGTGGGCTGGCTTTTGGTGTAAGTGTGGGCTGGCTTTTGGTGTAGGTGTGGGCTGGCTTTTGGTGTAGGTGTGGGCTGGCTTTTGGTGTAGGTGTGGGCTGGCTTTTGGTGTAGGTGTGGGCTGGCTTTTTGGTGTTGGTGTGGGCTGGCTTTTTGGTGTAGGTGTGGACTGGCTTTTTGGTGTTGGTGCATGACTGCTGTGATTATAACAAATAAGGATTACACATATAATTACGGTGTTAGATTATTAATACAATTAATCCCATTATTGTCGTTTTGATCAAAGTAATATTGTGTCTACAGCTTTCTGTCTTTTCCTCTGCCATAATGGGCTGGATTACTTTGAAAGAATGACTTAATTTGCAATGTTGATTGCTAATGATTACACTGTGTGTAATTATCATCATTGCATGATTATTTTAACTGGATTTAGAACGTTTAATGGGGATTAAATTTGGTAGATTAGGCCTCTGGATTTACGAACATATATGGGACTATGGTACAGGATTTTTCGAACATGGTTTCAGAAGAGGGATTAGCGTGAGGGTGTGTTAAATCCATTTACTCTAATGGCTAACCTCCCGCTCCTTGCGTGCACCTTCCGGGGATCAATGTCCCCGCGGCCCGGTCTCTGGTCAGACTCTGGAACACTGAGACTCTGGAACACTGAGACTCTGGAACACTCAGACTCTGGAACACTGAGACAGTGGAACACTGAGACAGTGGAACACTGAGACAGTGGAACACTGAGACAGTGGAACACTGAGACAGTGGAACACTGAGACAGTGGAACACTGAGACAGTGGAACACTGAGACAGTGGAACACTGAGACAGTGGAACACTGAGACAGTGGAACACTGAGACAGTGGAACACTGAGACAGTGGAACACTGAGACAGTGGAACACTGAGACAGTGGAACACTGAGACAGTGGAACACTGAGACAGTGGAACACTGAGACAGTGGAACACTGAGACAGTGGAACACTGAGACAGTGGAACACTGAGACAGTGGAACACTGAGACAGTGGAACACTGAGACAGTGGAACACTGAGACAGTGGAACACTGAGACCCTGGAACACTCAGACCCTGGAACACTCAGACCCTGGAACACTGAGACCCTGGAACACTCAGACCCTGGAACACTGAGACCCTGGAACACTGAGACCCTGGAACACTGAGACCCTGGAACACTGAGACCCTGGAACACTGAGACCCTGGAACACTGAGACCCTGGAACACTGAGACCCTGGAACACTGAGACCCTGGAACACTGAGACTCTGGAACACTGAGACTCTGGAACACTGAGACTCTGGAACACTGAGACTCTGGAACACTGAGACTCTGGAACACTGAGACTCTGGAACACTGAGACTCTGGAACACTGAGACTCTGGAACACTGAGACTCTGGAACACTGAGACTCTGGAACACTGAGACTCTGGAACACTCAGACACTGGAGCACTCAGACTCTGGAACACTCAGACTCTGGAACACTCAGACAATGGAACACTGAGACAATGGAACACTCAGACTCTGGAACACTCAGAGGTTAAGCAGGTGGTGTTGACCATTGAGTACTTCAATAAAAAATATTAAAACATAAAAATATAAAAATTTTATTAAAATTTAAATATCAGACTATAAAAAAATATATTCCACTTGGACTTTCAGACCATTTTTCTAAAAAAACAAAATATGGTCCAAATTAACAGCTCAATATCAGGCCTTAACTTGACATAGAAAGTTATTTTAAATACAATAATTACAACAAATAAACTTTTCTTACCACCAAAGTTTTTTTGATAATTACAACAAATAAACTTTTCTTACCACCAAAGTTTTTTGTTGTATTAAAGATTGAAGACTGATTCAACAGATGAGAGATGTGTAAGATCTTGCAAGATGCAGGTTATTACAAGATCCTTCACGATGGCTGTTAACTCGAGAAGTTCAGTTTCAGGAAGTTCAAGAGAAGGTGCTCGCTCAGCAACATTCAGCTAACGATGTGTCAACCCGTTCTCGCAAATTCGTAAAGTCAATATTGACTTATTAACTACGTGCATAGGTGATATACTAAACATAATAGATACCCTTAAAAAGATTCATAGAAAACACCGACCTTACCTAACCTTGTTAGTATCTTAAGATAAGCATCTTATTGCTTCGTAATTACAATTATTACTTAACCTATACCTGTTATAGGTTAGGTAATAATTGTAATTACGAAGCAATAAGATGCTTATGTTAACATGCTAAGTAGGTTAGGTAAGGTCGGTGTTTTCTATGAATCTTTTTAAGGGTATCTATTATGGTAAGTATGTCACCTATGCACATATTTAATAAGTCAATATTGACTTATTAAATTTGCGAGAACGGGTTGCACGATGTTGCGTTACAGCCAACACCATTGACGCAAATGACGCAGATTGCTTTACAAGTTGATTTAGGAGGCGTATGGGAGAGAAGGAATTGAGATTGGTGGAACACAATACATGTAATACCTCGTTTGAGATATCGCACATATGGGAACAGCAACACACCAGGAACGAAGCACATGCGCAACAGACGCCCCACAGACGCAACACAGCCAACAGACATCAATACATGGTACCCCGAGGGAGGAAATGTGTTCTGGAGCACAAGAGAGACTTGAAGGTGTTCACCAACACACACAGACTGTAGGAAGGTGTTCACCAACACACAGACTGTAGGAAGGTGTTCACCAACACACAGACTACAGGAAGGTGTTCACCAACACACACAGACTACAGGAAGGTGTTCACCAACACACACAGACTGTAGGAAGGTGTTCACCAACACACAGACTACAGGAAGGTGTTCACCAACACACACAGACTACAGGAAGGTGTTCACCAACACACACAGACTGTAGGAAGGTGTTCACCAACACACAGACTACAGGAAGGTGTTCACCAACACACACAGACTACAGGAAGGTGTTCACCAACACACACAGAAAGTAGGAAGGTGTTCACCAACACACACAGACTGTAGGAAGGTGTTCACCAACACACACAGACTGTAGGAAGGTGTTCACCAACACACACAGACTGTAGGAAGGTGTTCACCAACACACACAGACTGTAGGAAGGTGTTCACCAACACACAGACTGTAGGAAGGTGTTCACCAACACACAGACTGTAGGAAGGTGTTCACCAACACACAGACTACAGGAAGATGTTCACCAACACACAGACTGTAGGAAGGTGTTCACCAACACACAGACTGTAGGAAGGTGTTCACCAACACACAGACTACAGGAAGGTGTTCACCAACACACAGACTGTAGGAAGGTGTTCACCGACACACAGACTGTAGGAAGGTGTTCACCAACACAGAGTACAGGAAGGTGTTCACCAACACACAGACTGTAGGAAGGTGTTCACCAACACACAGACTGTAGGAAGGTGTTCACCAACACACACACTGCAGGAAGGTGTTCACCAACACACACACTGCAGGAAGGTGTTCACCAACACACACACACTGCAGGAAGGTGTTCACCAACACACAGACTGTAGGAAGGTGTTCACCAACACACACAGACTGCAGGAAGGTGTTCACCAACACACAGACTGTAGGAAGGTGTTCACCAACACACACAGACTGTAGGAAGGTGTTCACCAACACACAGACTGTAGGAAGGTGTTCACCAACACACACACTGCAGGAAGGTGTTCACCAACACCCACACACTACAGGAAGGTGTTCACCAACACACACACTACAGGAAGGTGTTCACCAACACACACACTACAGGAAGGTGTTCACCAACACACACACTACAGGAAGGTGTTCACCAACACACACACTACAGGAAGGTGTTCACCAACACACACACTATAGGAAGGTGTTCACCAACACACACACTACAGGAAGGTGTTCACCAACACACACACTACAGGAAGGTGTTCACCAACACACACACTACAGGAAGGTGTTCACCAACACCCACACACTACAGGAAGGTGTTCACCAACACACACACTACAGGAAGGTGTTCACCAACACACACACTGCAGGAAGGTGTTCACCAACACCCACACACTACAGGAAGGTGTTCACCAACACACACAAACTACAGGAAGGTGTTCACCAACACACACACTACAGGAAGGTGTTCACCAACACACACACTACAGGAAGGTGTTCACCAACACACACACTACAGGAAGGTGTTCACCAACACACACACTACAGGAAGGTGTTCACCAACACACACACTACAGGAAGGTGTTCACCAACACACACACTACAGGAAGGTGTTCACCAACACACACACTACAGGAAGGTGTTCACCAACACACACACTACAGGAAGGTGTTCACCAACACACACACTACAGGAAGGTGTTCACCAACACACACACTACAGGAAGGTGTTCACCAACACACACACTACAGGAAGGTGTTCACCAACACACACACTACAGGAAGGTGTTCACCAACACACACACTACAGGAAGGTGTTCACCAACACACACACTACAGGAAGGTGTTCACCAACACACACACTGCAGGAAGGTGTTCACCAACACACACAGACTACAGGAAGGTGTTCACCAACACACACACTACAGGAAGGTGTTCACCAACACACACACTACAGGAAGGTGTTCACCAACACCCACACACTACAGGAAGGTGTTCACCAACACACACACTGCAGGAAGGTGTTCACCAACACACACAGACTACAGGAAGGTGTTCACCAACACACACACTGCAGGAAGGTGTTCACCAACACACACACTACAGGAAGGTGTTCACCAACACACACACTACAGGAAGGTGTTCACCAACACACAGACTACAGGAAGGTGTTCACCAACACACACACTGCAGGAAGGTGTTCACCAACACACACACTACAGGAAGGTGTTCACCAACACACACACTACAGGAAGGTGTTCACCAACACACACACACTGCAGGAAGGTGTTCACCAACACACACACTACAGGAAGGTGTTCACCAACACACACACTACAGGAAGGTGTTCACCAACACACACACTACAGGAAGGTGTTCACCTACACACACACTACAGGAAGGTGTTCACCAACACACACACTACAGGAAGGTGTTCACCAACACACACACTACAGGAAGGTGTTCACCAACACACACACTACAGGAAGGTGTTCACCAACACACACACTACAGGAAGGTGTTCACCTACACACACACTACAGGAAGGTGTTCACCAACACACACACTACAGGAAGGTGTTCACCAACACACACACTACAGGAAGGTGTTCACCAACACACACACTACAGGAAGGTGTTCACCAACACACACACTACAGGAAGGTGTTCACCAACAGACTCGGGGGAACGTTTGCTGCATATTGGCTCAGGAAATTATTTTGTGTAGCGAAGGCTATTTGTTTACGATAGGAAGCGGCCATCAGGGGAAACGTTTGCTCTAGTTTGCTCCAACAGATGAACAGCCCTCAAGTGAGCGCCTGTTTCTCTTATCTACGAGATGAGTACACACTTGAATATGTATTCAAGTCATACTCCTCCCACCAGTATGGGGACTCCTGCCACCAGCATGGGGACTCCTGCCACCAGCATGGGGACTCCTGCCACCAGCATGGGGACTCCTGCCACCAGCATGGGGACTCCTCCCACCAGCATGGGGACTCCTGCCACCAGCATGGGGACTCCTGCCACCAGCATGGGGACTCCTCCCACCAGCATGGGGACTCCTCCCACCAGCATGGGGACTCCTGCCACCAGCATGGGGACTCCTCCCACCAGCATGGGGACTCCTGCCACCAGCATGGTGACTCCTCCCACCAGCATGAGGACTCCTCCCACCAGCATGGGGACTCCTGCCACCAGCATGGGGACTCCTGCCACCAGCATGGGGACTCCTGCCACCTGCATGGTGACTCCTGCCACCAGCATGGGGACTCCTCCCACCAGCATGGGGACTCCTCCCACCAGTATGGGGACTCCTGCCACCAGCATGGGGACTCCTCCCACCTGCATGGTGACTCCTGCCAAAAGTATGGTGACTCCTCCCACCAGCATGGTGACTCCTGCCACCAGTATGGTGACTCCTGCCACCAGCATGGTGACTCCTGCCACCAGCATGGTGACTCCTGCCACCAGCATGGGGACTCCTGCCACCAGCATGGTGACTCCTCCCACCAGCATGGTGACTCCTCCCACCAGCATGGTGACTCCTGCCACCAGCATGGGGACTCCTGCCACCAGCATGGTGACTCCTCCCACCAGCATGGTGACTCCTGCCACCAGCATGGTGACTCCTGCCACCAGCATGGGGACTCCTCCCACCAGCATGGTGACTTCTCCCACCGGCATGGGGACTCCTCCCACCAGCATGGGGACTCCTGCCACCAGCATGGGGACTCCTCCCACCAGCATGGGGACTCCTCCCACCAGCATGGGGACTCCTCCCACCAGCATGGGGACTCCTCCCACCAGCATGGGGACTCCTCCCACCAGCATGGGGACTCCTCCCACCAGCATGGTGACTCCTCCCACCAACATGGGGACTCCTCCCACCAGCATGGGGACTCCTCCCACCAGCATGGTGACTCCTGCCACCAGCATGGTGACTCCTGCCACCTGCATGGTGACTCCTGCCACCAGCATGGGGACTCCTCCCACCAGCATGGTGACTCCTGCCACCAGCATGGGGACTCCTGCCACCAGCATGGTGACTCCTGCCACCAGCATGGTGACTCCTGCCACCAGCATGGTGACTCCTGCCACCAGCATGGTGACTCCTGCCACCAGCATGGGGACTCCTCCCACCAGCATGGGGACTCCTCCCACCAGCATGGGGACTCCTCCCACCAGCATGGGGACTCCTCCCACCAGCATGGTGACTCCTCCCACCAACATGGGGACTCCTCCCACCAGCATGGGGACTCCTCCCACCAGCATGGTGACTCCTGCCACCAGCATGGTGACTCCTGCCACCTGCATGGTGACTCCTGCCACCAGCATGGGGACTCCTCCCACCAGCATGGTGACTCCTGCCACCAGCATGGGGACTCCTGCCACCAGCATGGTGACTCCTGCCACCAGCATGGTGACTCCTGCCACCAGCATGGTGACTCCTGCCACCAGCATGGTGACTCCTGCCACCAGCATGGGGACTCCTCCCACCAGCATGGGGACTCCTCCCACCTACATAGGAACATCAGTACCGAATAACACACTATAAACACCTGACATGCTGACAAAACACCTGAACCCCTACTGGCTACAGTGCCACATATTAAACACCTGTCATCTTCACCTGATAAATGATGTACTGAGCACCATGTCATAATTTCTTATGCAAATTAATATACTAATTTTTGTTATCTTAATACTGATAAATGTACAGTTATTTATGAACATAGTTATGATTTAATCGATGGCTTGCTAGGCAAGGTTCTTCTCTACGCGATCACCCATCCGGCCTCTGGCCAGACGTGACTTTTCTTAACCTGAGAGAGCGAGTGACACCGTTACGGCTCTGATCTCAGCCCAAACTGATCTTCTGGGCTGAGTTTGGGTTCTGATCCCAGCACAAACCTGTCATTATACATGCCATCTGCACACCATCATATTTTATCGCCATATGTGAAGCGCGTGCCTGCGATATTTAGAGAATGGGTGTATGTGTTGGCGTGTGTATATGTATACTACGTGTGTATATGTATACTATGTGTCTATCGCGGCTTGTGTCTCAGGGACTGAGGGAGGGAGGGAGGGAGGTGTCTCTCTCTCTCACAACAGTCTTATGACTGGTTCACTGACTGTCGAGGTAGTTATGTTTGTTATTGCTGATTGGGACGACTTGTGGGTGATAGAGTAGACAGTCTCTCACTCTCTCACTCTCTCTCTCACTCTCTCTCTCTCACTCTCTCACTCTCTCTCTCTCACTCCCCCTCTCTCTCACTCCCCCTCTCTCTCACTCCCCCTCTCTCTCACTCTCTCTCACTCTCTCTCACTCCCCCTCTCTCTCACTCTCTCTCTCTCTCTCTCTCACTCTCACTCTCTCACTCTCACTCTCTCTCTCTCTCTCTCTCTCTCTCTCTCTCTCTCTCTCTCTCTCTCTCTCTCTCTCTCTCTCTCTCTCTCTCTCTCACTCTCTCTCTCTCTCTCTCACTCTCTCTCACTCCCCCTCTCTCTCACTCCCCCTCTCTCTCACTCACTCTCTCTCACACTCTCTCTCTCCTCACACACTCCCCCGCCCCCTCCTCTCCCCATCTATCAATCTCTCTCTCCGTGATAGTTTAACTTTTCATTTCGTCTTGGTATCATCTTGTTGAATCTTATTTTTGCGTGTGTGTACAGATGCCGGGGGCGCGACACGCTCCGGCGGCGCCAATCAACAGCTGTGATCCAGAGTTTGTTTACCTCGTCCAGCGTCGTGTGGGACATGCAGCGTTGTGGGGGAGTATTGGGGGTGTGTGTGTGGTGTGACGTACTGGGGGTGTGTGGGGTGACGTACTGGGGTGTGTGGGGGAGTATTGGGGGTGTGTGGGGTGACGTATTGGTGGTGTGTGTGGTGTGACGTATTGGTGGTGTGTGGGTTGACGTACTGGGGTGTGTGGGGTGACGTATTGGTGGTGTGTGGGTTGACGTATTGATGGTGTGTGGGTTGACGTATTGGTGGTGTGTGGGTTGACGTACTGGGGTGTGTGGGGAGACGTATTGGTGGTGTGTGTGGTGTGACGTATTGGTGGTGTGTGGGGTGACGTATTGGTGGTGTGTGGGGTGACGTATTGATGGTGTGTGGGTTGACGTATTGATGGTGTGTGGGTTGACGTATTGATGGTGTGTGGGTTGACGTATTGGTGGTGTGTGTGGTGTGACGTATTGGTGGTGTGTGGGGTGACGTATTGGTGGTGTGTGGGGGTGACGTATTGATGGTGTGTGGGTTGACGTATTGATGGTGTGTGGGTTGACGTATTGATGGTGTGTGGGTTGACGTATTGGTGGTGTGTGGGGAGACGTATGGTGGTGTGTGGGTTGACGTATTGGTGGTGTGTGGTGTGACGTACTGGGGTGTGTGGGGTGACGTATTGGTGGTGTGTGGGGTGACGTATTGGGGGTGTGTGGTGTGACGTACTGGGGGTGTGTGGGGTGACGTATTGGTGGTGTGTGGGGTGACGTATTGGGGTGTGTGGGGGAGTATTGGTGGTGTGTGGTGTGACGTACTGGGGGTGTGTGGGGTGACGTATTGGTGGTGTGTGGGGTGACGTATTGGGGGTGTGTGGTGTGACGTACTGGGGGTGTGTGGGTGACGTATTGGTGGTGTGTGGGGTGACGTATTGGGGATGTGTGGTGTGACGTACTGGGGGTGTGTGGGGTGACGTATTGGGGATGTGTGGTGTGACGTACTGGGGGTGTGTGGTGTGACGTATTGGGGGTGTGTGGGTTGACGTACTGGGGTGTGTGTGGTGTGACGTATTTGTGAATTTATTGCAGGGGGGGAGGGGAGGGGGGGGGGTTGATGGTTAATGATGGAGTATTGATGTTAATCGCGACGTATTTACAGAGATTTAATTGAATGTTTAAAAAAAATTCTTAATTAAATTGTAAAAAAAAATAATACTTTTCATTATTTAAATCATTTGATGGTGTGAATAACATTTCTCTCCGTGTTGCAGGACGTCGCGGGACCAACAGGAGGATCAAAGGTAAAAATATGTCCCCCATTAATATAATGGTAAATACAACACTTGTAAAAATACAAGTTTTGTATTTTTGTTTTAAGCAACGTATGGTAGGAGTTGTTATATTTACTCGGTGATTACGATAGAAAGATTATATGGATTAACCTACATTAATTTAAGTGCGGTTGTTGAAGGCGTTGATGTAACGACCCTCACATTAAGGTGGTTTGAGAAGGTAGTTCATGCCAGCTGCTACAGCCTGGTCGGACCAGTCTGGGAGGAGTGGCGCAGTGGGAACATTCTCGTCAAGCTCTTCGCCAGCGATATCGCCTAGGTTCGTATCCTGGTCGGGGAGGAGTGACCAGGAGACAATCCTTAATTTACTTCGATTTATCTGAGAGTTAGTAACGCTCTAGTGGGCTCGACGAGGACATGAAGCCGGCGGCTTGTCAAAGGTATCCCCCACCCCCATTTGTTAAGTGATTTGTGGCATTTACGAAATCGGCGGGTAGGCGGTTCCACGGGTTTAGAACCTTGTGGGTGAAAAAAAGCATGTCCAGTTGCAAGCGATGAGTCACAATAACGTGGCTAAAGTAGGTTGACCAGACTACACACTAGAAGGTGAAGGGACGACGACGACGTTTCGGTCCGTCCTGGACCATTCTCAAGTCGAAGAAACGTCGTCGTCCCTTCACCTTCTAGTGTGTGGTGGTCTGGTCAACATCTCCAGTTCTCAGTCTTATATTGTGGCGTGTTGAACCCGTTGCTCCTTGTTTGTGTTACATCCGACCTTCTGAAGAAATTATCTGGATCAACATCCTCCAAATTGTTCAGCATTTTGAACGTTTCAATGACATCTGCCCCGTCAATGCTTGGTTTGCAGTGTTGTAAGCCGTGTGTTAGGACTAAGAACACTCTACGCCTCTGTTCGCTCAGCAGTGATTGGGGTACCTGCAGCCAAATTCACGAAGCAGTTACGCAAGTACTAACGAACGTGTACATCTTTCCTCAATCTTTGACGGCTTTGGTTACATTTATTAAACAGTTTACAAGCATGAAAACTTGCCAATCAACTGTTGTCATTGTTATAAACAGCCTCCTGGTGCTTCGGAGCTCATTAACTGTATAATAATTGTAAACAAAGCCGCCAAAGATTGAGAAAAGACGTACAGGTTCGTAAGTGCTTGCGTAACTGCTTCGTGAATCTGACCCCTGGTTGTTAAACGATTGGCGGGTTGTGTTTTAAGGGACACTAGTGGGTAAGGCTTACCTTGAGCTATAGGAAGGGGAAAAACTATCAACCAGTTAACAGGAGTCAGCAGTCGTCTGTTCCTGTACTAACCTGCATATACAAAAAATACTTCTCACAAATCCTGTTTGCAACATAAAAAGGAGTTACACACAGAAATCCCAATGGCGTGATGCATCAAATGAACAAATCCACAAGGGCCATGACGAGGATTCGAACCTACGTCCGAGGTCATCCCAGACGCTGCCTTAATCGACTGAGCTAACCATGTCGTAGCTCCGTCGATTAAGGCAGCGTCTGGGATGCTCTCGGAAGTAGGTTCGAATCCTCGTCACGGCCCTTGTGGATTTGTTCATAAAAAGGAATCTTAACATACAGTTTTTTAAAGTGAAAAAGATGACTTTAGTCCTTTCCTACACACAGACAAAAGGCCACATTTCGTCACACTCACAGTTCACAGTCAACAGAGGCTTCCGTACACACACACACACACGATAACATGCACTGGTTATCATCCGTGTTACCATGTGTGTACGGGATAACGACAGCACAACAACAGGATAACGAGAGGTGGAGATATTAATGTCCTCAGATTACCAGTGACTGACAGAACGTCCTTGGAGACGAGTGCAGACGCCTCACAGACATCACAGGAGACGATATCACAGGAGAAGATATCATAAGATATCACAGGAGAAGATATCACAAGATCTTGCAAGAAACATACCCCTATAGTGAGGGTTCCACTTATCACCACGACACTGTACCAAGTTTCAGTCTCTCAGTACTCACATTAGGACCAGAATCAGCCCTCTGTGGTCGCTACAGCCACAGGCCACTGTACACCGTCGTCCCTTTCAGGAAGTTGACACCGTCACCTGTTACACCGTTCACCGTTCACTGTCCAAACGGCTGCCGTTCTTGTACGTTCCAGAGATTTCAGCATTAGTCATCACTATAAAAAATGGTAATTATCTCCTCGGATTCTTGGCGCTTGAGCGAGGCGGCGTTGCGGGTTGAGGGGAGACTGGTGGAGGGGTGCTGTTGGTGGGGTCGGTGGTGGGGTCGGTGGTGGGGTCGGTGGTGGGGTCGGTGGTGGGGTCAGTGGTGATCTGTGGTGGGGTCAGTGGTGGGGTCGGTGGTGGGGTCGGTGGTGGGGTCGGTGGTGGGGTCGGTGGTGGGGTCGGTGGTGGGTCGGTGGTGGGGTCGGTGGTGGGGTCTGTGGTGGGGTCTGTGGTGGGGTCGGTGGTGGGGTCGGTGGTGGGGTCGGTGGTGGGGTCTGCGGTGGGGTCTGCGGTGGGGTCTGCGGTGGGGTCTGCGGTGGGGTCGGTGGTGGGGTCGGTGGTGGGGTCGGTGGTGGGGGTCGGTGGTGGGGTCGGTGGTGGGGTCGGTGGTGGGGTCGGTGGTGGGGTCTGTGGTGGGGTCGGTGGTGGGGTCGGTGGTGGGGTCGGTGGTGGGGTCGGTGGTGGGGTCGGTGGTGGGGTCGGTGGTGGGGTCGGTGGTGGGGTCGGCGGTGGGGTCGGTGGTGGGGTCTGCGGTGGGGTCGGTGGTGGGGTCGGTGGTGGGGTCTGCGGTGGGGTCTGCGGTGGGGTCTGCGTGGGGTCTGCGGTGGGGTCGGTGGTGGGGTCGGTGGTGGAGTCGGTGGAGGGGTCGGTGGTGGGGTCTGTGGTGGGGTCGGTGGTGGGGTCGGTGGTGGGGTCGGTGGTGGGGTCGGTGGTGGGGTCGGTGTTGGTGCGTGGTGGGGTCGGTGTTGGTGCGTGGTGGGGTCGGTGTTGGTGCGTGGTGGGGTCGGTGTTGGTGCGTGGTGGGGTCGGTGTTGGTGCGTGGTGGGGTCAGTGTTGGTGCGTGGTGGGGTCAGTGGTGGGGTCAGTGTGGGTCTCGTCTACCAACAAGTAGAAGGTGTCACAATAAGTGTCCTCTTGGTGTAATATTTGTGAATTTGTTTAAATAGTTTACATCAACCACAAAGTTCTTGTAGACATGGACCAGGAACCTCAACTCTACAGAAGAAATGTGTATGACATAATCTTGCACGTAGCTGAGGCTCCGTTCTTGCTACAGCTTAAGGGGGCTTTTGAGTGAGGTGTCTGTGCTAACTTTTATATTCAAGATGGAAGGTAGACTTCCTTTCCTGGATGCAACAGTTACGGAATAGATTGATGGGTTGATTTCGATTCCCACTAAGGAAATCGAAGGAGGAATGCGCCATGAGTGAGAGAGTCCCTGGTAGGTACAAGAGGAGTGTTGTCCATGCGTACGTCAACCGCGACCTCTCTCACTGCTCCAGTTGGTAGCAGGTTGGCGACGAACTCGGGAGAGTAAGGCAACTTCTAGTCACTGATGGGTACAATGGATATGTCAAAGAGATATTTAGAGGAAGGTGAGCCGCCATGCTACCTCTGATGAATCAGTCAACTCTACAGTATGTGCTCTTCCAGTTAGACAAGTCACCAGGAACTTCTTTCTTGTAGTACTCCAAACGGAAGTCCTGAAAGTCATTATTACCTGGTTGATAGGGTTCTGGGAGTTCTTCTACTCCCCAAGCCCGGCCCGAGGCCAGGCTTGACTTGTGAGTGTTTGGTCCACCAGGCTGTTGCTTGGAGCGGCCCGCAGGCCCACATACCCACCGCAGCCCGGCTGGTCCGGCACTCCTTGGAGGAAACTATCTAGTTTCCTCTTGAAGATGTCCACGGTTGTTCCGGCAATATTTCTTATTGGAAGTCGGACACATTGGAAATCAGCAACGTCACCCTACCAACCAGGAGAAGGAGTGGACAAGATCCTACAACAGGAAGGCCACCACCAACTGGCTCAGGAAGAACTCTCCCAGTACCAAGACCAATACGTCGAAAGAGATGGATACCCTGGAAACACAAACCGAAACTGTCTCTATTTTCCGCTTGTTACAACTTGTAATAAAGTTGTTACATCTTGGTTTAACGTGTTTATGACGTATTAGAACGTTGTTACAACTTGCTATATTGGTTGTTATAACTGGTTAGGTGTTAAAACTTCTTCGAACGTTGTACCAACGTCCTAGTTTCGGTGTACCTTTGGCGGGATATGTCGTCTGTGCCTTCACATGCGAAATTGTTGATAGTCGGCCGCCAATAATCTCAACATATTGGCATGACAACAACATCTTCTTGAAGGATCCTGACAGTGTTCCAACAACCAGGCTCCCTTAAGGAACAAGGTCGCTACACACAACTAGAGCATCACTAGAGGTATACTGTACTGACATACAACACTGATATAATCCACAGTTACAATGACAATAGAAAATTATTCAACCGTGATGAGACTGACGTTTCCATTTGTAATTATGTGTAGAGGGGAACCTGGTGATGCCCAGCATTGTATCTGTCACTTCCCCTCCTCCCCTCTTCCTCCCAGTCTCCCCCCTCTCTCCCCCACATCTTCTCCTACCCTCTTCTTCCATCTTCACTACATGCCATCTTCACTACATACACAATCTTCACAACCATAACCATTTACACTACTCACTATCTTCTCCACTGTCACCATTTTTCCTTGCGGATTATTTTCCTCACTGTAGCTCAATGTAATCAGTTGATAGTTTTCGATTGATTTTTTTTATTAAAATATGAGGTACATCTGCATTAGTGCAGCTACCCTAGACTATATGAAGTGGAGTACAGTGTGTCAAAAAAAAAAAAGCTAACTAGGTGATGCTAAAAAATCCCCATCACACAGGATGGTTAGTCATACAGAGACATGTGATAAGCGGTCTGCACTGGCAGACTCCGGATGCATTTTGAGGATATCAACACCACAAGATTGAATAAGGGAGCAGTGGTAATACAAGTCCGCATCTCGCAGGATGGTTAGTCATACAGAGCCATGTGTTTAGTAACCGGCACTGGCAAATTTTGGGTATACTGTGAGGATATCTTCAAGAATACGAGAGGTAATAAAGCAATTGCAAAGCTCCAGGTACCTCATGCCAACTGGTCTGAAAGGTCTAATAACTGGGCATTCAGTGATGTAGTGCGGGAGATCGTGCCGTAGTTCCTGCTCACAGAGTTTGCAACTGGAGTGCTCAGGATTGGGAGACCCGTCACCTGCAGCCACCTGCCACAGGTAACGGTAACCCAACCTGATCTTGGCAACCACTGTGTCGCACAGTCTAGCGAACGTTTTGTGCTGTCCATAGATGTAGGTTTCAGATCTGAACAAATCATAGCTTTTTATACTAGTACTTTCAGGTCGTTGGGAGTCAGTAAGTTCTTTCTTATCAGATCTGAGTGTTTGGACCAATACAGTTTTGACAGCAGAGATGGGGATACCTAGATCTAATTCAACTTCAAACTTGTTACACGCTAATTTGGCTGTAATGTCTGTCTCATTATGATGGGTTATATTTATGTGTGAAGGTATCCATACAAAGGAGATTCGAGACCCTTTACTCTGTGCATCAATTAGGTCATTTATAATTGGGAGTATGAGGTTCTTGCTGTCGATCTTCCAAGAGAAGTTATCGAGTGCTTGAAGAGCAGACTTTGAATCACAAAATATTATTCCTCCTCCAATGTTTTTTAATGTACTGGTTGCTAAGTGTAATGCTGCTAGTTCTGCTTGTGTGGAGGTCAGCCAGTTGTTTAACCTGACACTGACAGTCTTTGTGCAAATATTATTTCTATAAAACCTACATGCCGCTGCAGTCCGTCCAGTAGAAGACTGGACTGAGCCGTCGGTGTGGACACAGTGCTCGTGAGATCTTAAACTCTCGATGGAGGAGGCAATTGTTTCAAGTGTGACAGCTTTGAGAAGATGAGGTCCTTGATAAGAAAATCGCCGACCTTAAGAGGATGGATGGGAGGATTGATGATATTGATGCTCATGATGCACTCTATCTCATCACCAGATGCCTGGCCCTCCCCAGGTAATCTTATAATAATCTCCAGACATCTCATGACATCATCTTTGTACCTTATATATAACTCCTTTTATTGTAACAAAAAACTACCTCCCTCACCCTCCCCCTACCTCCCTCACACTCCCTCACCCTCACCCTACCTCACTCACCCTCCCTCACCCTCCCCCTACCTCCCTCACACTCCCTCACCCTCCCCTACCTCCCTCACACTCCCTCACCCTCCCCCTACCTCCCTCACACTCCCTCACCCTCCCCTACCTCCCTCACACTCCCTCACCCTCCCCCTACCTCCCTCACACTCACTCACCCTCCCCTACCTCCCTCACACTCCCACACCCTCCCCCTACCTCCGTCACACTCCCTCACCCTCCCCCTACCTCCCTCACACTCCCTCACCCTCCCCCTACCTCCCTCACACTCCCTCACCCTCCCCCTACCTCCCTCACACTCACTCACCCTTCCCTACCTCCCTCACACTCCCTCACCCTCCCCTACCTCCCTCACACTCCCTCACCCTCCCCTACCTCCCTCACACTCCCTCACCCTCCCCCTACCTCCCTCACACTCCCTCACCCTCCCCTACCTCCCTCACACTCCCTCACCCTCCCCTACCTCCCTCACACTCCCTCACCCTCCCCTACCTCCCTCACACTCCCTCACCCTCCCCTACCTCCCTCACACTCCCTCACCCTCCCCCTACCTCCCTCACACTCCCTCACACTCCCTCACCCTCCCCCTACCTCCCCCACACTCCCTCACCCTTCCCCCTCCCTCCCCTACCTCCCTCACACTCCCTCACCCTCCCCCTACCTCCCTCACACTCCCTCACCCTCCCCTACCTGCCTCACACTCCCTCACCCTCCCCTACCTCCCTCACACTCCCTCACCCTCCCCCTACCTCCCTCACCCTCCCCCTACCTCCCTCACACTCCCTCACCCTCCCCCTACCTCCCTCACACTCCCTCACCCTCCCCCTACCTCCCTCACACTCCATAACCCTCCCCCTACCTCCCTCACACTCCATAACCCTCCCCCTCCCTCCCCTACCTCCCTCACACTCCCTCACCCTCCCCTACCTCCCTCACACTCACTCACCCTCCCCTACCTCCCTCACACTCCCTCACCCTCCCCCTACCTCCCTCACACTCCCTCACCCTCCCCCTATCTCCCTCACACTCCCTCACCCTCCCCTACCTCCCTCACACTCCCTCACCCTCCCCTACCTCCCTCACACTTCCTCACCCTCCCCCTACCTCCCTCACACTCCCTCACCCTCCCCCTACCTCCCTCACACTCCATAACCCTCCCCCTCCCTCCCCTACCTCCCTCACACTCCCTCACCCTCCCCTACCTCCCTCACACTCCCTCACCCTCCCCCTACCTCCCTCACACTCCCTCACCCTCCCCTACCTCCCACACACTCCCTCACCCTCCCCCTACCTCCCTCACACTCCCTCACCCTCCCCTACCTCCCTCACACTCACTCACCCTCCCCTACCTCCCTCACACTCCCTCACCCTACCTCCCTCACACTCCCTCACCCTCCCCCTATCTCCCTCACACTCCCTCACCCTCCCCCTACCTCCCTCACACTCCCTCACCCTCCCCCTACCTCCCTCACACTCCATAACCCTCCCCCTCCCTCCCCTACCTCCCTCACACTCCCTCACCCTCCCCTACCTCACTCACCCTCCCTCACTCTCCCTCACACAACTCACCTCATTCCTCCCTCACAATTGTCCCATTTTCTAAGTGGTTTTAAGTATTAAGTATTTGTAATTCACTGTTAATTATTCTCTCGATTAATTCAATTAGTTGAGTGTATTAAGATTGAATATGTAAGTTAAGCGCTTCATTTAGGCAGAGATAATATTGATTCTTGACTGAAGTAAAGATGAGCTACAGCAGAGTGAGAAGACCTTAGTGGGTACCTTGGTGCAGGTGTGGCCCTTGGTGCAGGTGTGGCCCTTGGTGCAGGTGTGGCCCTTGGTGCAGGTGTGGCCCTTGGTGCAGGTGTGGCCCTTGGTGCAGGTGTTGCCCTTGGTACAGGTGTGGCCCTTGGTGCAGGTCTGGTCCTTGCTGCAGGTCTGGTCCTTGGTGCAGGTCTGGTCCTTGGTGCAGGTGTGGCCCTTGGTGCAGGTCTGGTCCTTGCTGCAGGTCTGGTCCTTGGTGCAGGTGTGGCCCTTGGTGCAGGTCTGGTCCTTGCTGCAGGTCTGGTCCTTGCTGCAGGTCTGGTCCTTGGTGCAGTTGTGGCCCTTAGTGCAGGTGTTGCCCTTGGTACAGGTGTGGCCCTTGGTGCAGGTCTGGTCCTTGCTGCAGGTCTGGTCCTTGGTGCAGGTGTGGCCCTTGGTGCAGGTCTGGTCCTTGCTGCAGGTCTGGTCCTTGCTGCAGGTGTGGTCCTTGGTGCAGGGTGGCCCTTGATACAGGTGTGGCCCTTGGTGTAGGTGTGGTCCTTGGTGCAGGTCTGGCCCTTGGTGCAGGTGTAGCCCTTGGTGAAGGTGTGGCCCTTGGTGCAGGTGTGGCCCTTGGTGCAGGTGTGGCCCTTGGTGCAGGTCTGGCCCTTGGTGCAGATGTGGCTCTTGGTGCAGGTGTGGGCCTTGGTGCAGGTGTGGCCCTTGGTGAAGGTCTGGCCCTTGGTGCAGGTGTGGTCCTTGGTGCAGGTGTGGTCCTTGGTGCAGGTGTGGTCCTTGGTGCAGGTGTGGTCCTTGGTGCAGGTCTGGCCCTTGGTGCAGGTGTGGTCCTTGGTGCAGGTCTGGCCCTTGGTGCGGGTCTGGCCCTTGGTGCAGGTGTGGCCCTTGGTGCAGGTGTGGCCCTTGGTGCAGATGTGGCCCTTGGTGCAGGTGTGGCCCTTGATGCATGTGTGGCCCTTGGTGCAGGTCTGGCCCATGGTGCAGGTGTGGCCCTTGGTGCAAGTGTGGCCCTTGGTGCCGGTCTGGCCCTTGGTGCAGATGTGGCCCTTGGTGCAGGTGTGGGCCTTGGTGCAGGTGTGGCCCTTGGTGAAGGTCTGGCCCTTAGTGCAGGTGTGGCCCTTGGTGAAGGTCTGGCCCTTAGTGCAGGTGTGGCCCTTGGTGCAGGTCTGGTCCTTGGTGCAGGTGTGGCCCTTGGTGCAGGTGTGGCCCTTGGTGCAGGTGTGGCCGTTGGTGCAGGTGTGGCCCTTGGTGCAGGTGTGGCCCTTGGTGCAGGTGTGGCCCTTGGTGCAGGTGTGGCCCTTGGTGCAGGTGTGGCCCTTGGTGCAGGTCTGGCCCTTGGTGCAGGTGTGGCCCTTGGTGCAGGTGTGGCCCTTGGTGCAGGTGTGGCCCTTGCTGCAGGTGTGGTCCTTGGTGCAAGTGTGCACCTTGGTGCAGGTCTGGCCCTTGGTGCAGGTGTGGCCCTTGGTGCAGGTGTGGCCCTTGGTGCAGGTGTGGTCCTTGCTGCAGGTGTGGCCCTTGGTGCAGGTGTGGTCCTTGGTGCAGGTCTGGCCCTTGGTGCAGGTGTGGCCCTTGGTGCAGGTGTGGTCCTTGGTGCAGGTGTGGCCCTTGGTGCGGATCTGGCTCTTGGTGCAGGTGTGGCCCTTGGTGCAGGTCTGGTCTTTGGTGCAGGTGTGGTCCTTGCTGCAGGTGTGGCCCTTGGCCTTGTTTTGTGTCTTTAAGTCTCGTGGAACATATAATTTCTGCATTAATTTAATTGCTTCTCATATAACATACATTTCATATTTACTTCCCATGTATTTCATCCTTCAGAAAATGTGCATTCCCCCATTTAAATGTATATATCTGCTGCCTTTCATTCCAATTTCACAATACCCAATTCGCCGTGCTGAAATTTTTTCCATTTATTCATTATTATTTCCCCTGCCTGCGTCCTTTCCATTTCTCACTTCCCAGCTTCCTTCCTCTTCCCTTCTCATTTCTTTCTTCCTTCTCATAATTTATTTACCTTACTGTCTTTTCTTTCCCATTTATGTCTATATATTTCCAGTCCATAATTAGAGACACCGGTTCCTTGATCACTTTCTGGTATGTGGAGGCTGCTTCTCTCATCTCTGGTTCAGGGAAAGGTAAGCTTTACCTTTGAAAGGTTTACCCAAAGGTAAACATCTCTCTGACTATGAGTATATTGTCGTGGGAACCTTCAAGAGGAAACTAGATTGTTTCCTTCAAGGAGTGCCGGACCAGCCGGGCTGTGGTGGGTATGTGGGCCTGCGGGCCGCTCCAAGCAACAGCCTGGTGGACCAAACTCTCTCAAGTCAAGCTTGGCCTCGGGCCGGGCTTGGGGAGTAGAAGAACTCCCAGAACCCCATCAACCAGGTATCAACCAGGTTAACCTTGACTGGTTATTAGCTATCTCCTCGTTCTGTTGGTCGTCACCTGGGAAAGATTGTCCCTACCTCAGAGTATCTTGTATGATGTGGTCATGTCTCCCTCTGGTTCTTCTCCTAAGGATGTTAACAATGAGTGTCTTATCTCACTCTCGTAGATGTTTCAAGGAGCCCTCCTTACACAGCAGCATATGCTGCTGATGGTGTTCCGTTTATGTGTGACGCTGGTGTTAATTAATAATTTAATCCTGGAGGGTCCATTCCCCTCCTCCCCCCTCTCTCCGGGACAATTTAATTTGATTTTTTTAATGTCTGTCTCGTTAACTGTTCTGTCTCTCAAGTTTTTTTCCGACATAATCCTGATTGTTTTACACTTACTGTGGTTGAACTCTAGTGGCCGTTAGTCAGCCAATACCAGCGAGGTGACCAGGTCCTCCTGAAGCCTTGTGTACAGCTCATGGGTTCCTGTCTCCTGCAACAGCTTTGCAACTTCTGCAAACATTGACTTGTAAGATCTTCATGTCCAACGGCCAGTAAGGTGCGGTTAGCCGAACCCTGCGGCACCCCGCTTGGCACTTCTCTGTACCCTGCGGGACCTCACTTGGCACTTCCCTCCACCCTGCGGGACCTCACTTGGCACTTCCCTCCACCCTGCGGCACCCCGCTTGGCACTTCCCTGTACCCTGTGGGACCTCACTTGGCACTTCTCTCCACCCTGCGGGACCTCACTTGGCACTTCCCTCCACCCTGCGGGACCTCACTTGGCACCTCCCTGCACCCTGCGGCACCTCACTTGGTACTTCCCTGTACCCTGTGGGACCTCACTTGGCACTTCCCTCCACCCTGCGGCACCTTACTTGGCACTTCCCTGCACCCTGCGGCACCTCGTCACGCCCACGTACTGTCTCCATAACCTATATGGAACAAAATTTCCGCCCACCGTGTATCTATTAACTAATCAAAATTGTAATCATTATAAAAACATTATAATTAACACATTCATCAGATTATATAAATATAATATAATTATCTCTAATTATCCACGTGACAAATCTATAAGTGTCCACATGTAATATCTCTAATTGTCCACCAATATTGTCTATAATTGTCCACCAATATTGTCTATAATTGTCCACCAATATTGTCTATAATTGTCCACCAATATTGTCTATAATTGTCCACCAATATTTTTCAACCTATATATAATTTAACATGATATTTAAATCTGAACCAACATATTAATAACAGTTTAAATTCCATAAATAATGCTGGCGAACATTTCATAAACTGGCAGAAATGAGGAGTTGTCATCGCCCTCATAGAAGTCACCAGCTGTCAACCTCGACGGCTGCGCTCCCGTCTCGTCCTCATTTCCTCATTGACCGCGTCGGAGTGCTGACAGACACCCGCTGCTCCACCCTGGGAACTAGGCCACATTTTGTGTCATTAATGAAACATTTAGATACGTGTACGTTTGTGCACACGTGTCTGAATGGTCTGATAACTGGGCATTCGGTGTTGTAGTGTGGGAGATCAGGCCTGTGCAGTGCCTGCTCACGGAGTTTGCACCTGGAGTGCTCAGGATTGGGAGATCCGTCACCTGTAGCTACCTGCCACAGGTAACGGTAACCCACCCTGATCCTTGCAACCACTGTGTCGCACAGTCTGGTGGACGTTTTGTGCTGCCCATAGATGTAGGTTTCAGATCTGAACAAATCATAGCTTTTAATACTGGTGCTTTCAGGTCGTTGGGAGTCAGTTATTTTTTTTCCTATCAAACCTGAGTGTTTGGACCAATATAATTTTGACAGCAGAGATGGGGATACCTAGATCTAAATCAACTTCATCCTTGTTACACGCTAATTTGGCTACAATGTCTGTCTCATTATGATGGGTTATATTTATGCGAGAAGGTATCCATACAAAGGAGATTCGAGGCACTTTACTCTGTGCAGCAATTAAGTAATTTATAATTGGTAGTATGTGGTTCTTGCTGTCGATCTTCCAAGAGAAGTTATCGAGTGCTTGAAGAGCAGACTTTGAATCACAAAATATTATTCCTCCTCCAATGTTTTTAATGTACTGGTTGCTAAGTGTAATGCTGCTAGTTCTGCTTGTGTGGAGGTCAGCCAGTTGTTTAACCTGACACTGACAGTCTTTGTGCAAATATTATTTCTATAAAACCTACATGCCGCTGCAGTCCGTCCAGTAGAAGATTGGACTGAGCCGTCGGTGTAGACACAGTGCTCGTTAGATCCTTAACCTAACCTAACCTAACCTAACATAATCTACCCTGACCTGACCTGACCTGACCTAATCTAAATCTATATATCTCCATTTTCTTGCTCTGAACTCTACGGTAAAATATCAGAGTATTTCGCTATGTTTCACTGACAGTCTACGCACAATCCAGGTGTGCCACGCCTATACTGTGTTCACAAAGTAATTTGTTCTATTTATGAGCGACTGTTACTTAACACCTCACCTGAGGGTGATCCCGGATGGCGGGGGTTCGAATCCTGGTCGGGTCCTCCAAAAAATTAATGAATGCTAATGCAAATGAACATTACCGAAATCTACTCCATTTTTTATAAAGAACTTAATTTATAAAGAAAAACACTTTGATACAAATTAAATACAAAAGATAATTATGTTTTATTTCCACATGGCTAAAATAGTGAGAGTCACTAATAGTGAAGGAGATCACTATAATAATGATTATAGTGATGTCTTTCTCCTTAGACATCTGTGGGTCTATCTGTTTATGGACTGGGGAGATGGAGGAACATATTGAGTCCATCTCCCATTTTCCTACCAATAAAATATTCAATATTATCTAACAATACAGGTAACAATTACACTGTTAGTACAGCAAGACGCTGATAAGGATTTGTTTGTCAACATTTGTTGTAATTCATAAGGAATTGTACTGACTGTAACTATTCTTGAACTACCATTAAAACTGACCAAGTTGGGCTGAAAGACTTAAGGTATATCCACAGCCTCCTCGCTGGAAGCTAAGGGGGCATAATGAATAGATCTTGATCTATTCATTATGCCTATTATCATTATTATGATAATAGATCAGCATGAATAGATCTTGTCATAAACGAGCACAAAAAAAGCCTTTTTATAGGGTAGTTTGGAATAAAGTCCAAGAAGCCTAAGTCCTATTGCCAAAGATTTATCATATCACATTAGTTGTGAAGAGCACAGTTGAGTTGATGGGTGATGAGTGTGGTGATGAAGAGAGTAGCATAGTTGGCACTGCCTTGGCACTCACAAATATTCTCCTCTCGTAGGAGGAGAGCGTAGCTGGCACTGTTTCTCCTCATTTGCTCAATTTCCACTGTTCTATCTTGTCCAAAATCAGAGGACAATCTTACACCATTTGTCAACCACATTGCACAAGCTGTTGTGTTGACAAAATAATGTAGTGGTAGCATTATATTGCCCTCTTAAAGTTCTGTGAAGCACGGGCAGTATGGCCTCACGGGGCAGTGTTTACGATCTCTCTGAGGCCAGTGTTGTCTCTCTGGTGTTCGTCAGACCTGGAGTCGGCTTCACGGATTTACAAAACAATCTATTTTTTCTCCTCCGCGCCATTTTTTATTTATTTTCATTATTACGTATATACGTCCATTAACACCCATTTTAGGGATGGTATTAATAGTGTTATATATATATATATATATATATATATATATATATATATATATATATATATATATATATATATATATATATATATATATATATATATATATATTTTATTAAATATGACCGAAAAAGTAAGATTAATAATTCTAACACGAATTTTCTCAATCTTTCGTACATTATGCTTCACTGCTGGAGGTAAATCAAAAATCACTTCTCCAAAATTCATTTTTATTTCTAGTCTGACGCGACACGGGCGCGTTTCGTAAAACTTATTACATTTTCAAAGACTTCACAAATACACAACTGATTAGAACTTGCATTTCCCTGATTTTATATCTACTTTTGAGTGAGGTGGGAAGGGTGATGTGGCATTACATTTGAGTGAGGTGGGAAGGATGATGTGGCATTAGAGGATATTAATAGGGTATTAAAAGTATCAACACAAGACAGAACACGAAACAATGGATATTGAATAGAAGTGTTTGTAGAAAGCCTATTGGTCCATATTTCTTGATGCTTCTATATTGGAGCGGAGTCTTGAGGTGGGTAGAATATAGTTGTGCAATAATTGGCTGTTGATTGCTGGTGTTGACTTCTTGATGTGTAGTGCCTCGCAAACGTCAAGCCGCCTGCTATCGCTGTATCTATCGATGATTTCTGTGTTGTTTACT